TGGATATGTGGCAAGGTTAATGAACCTATCTAAATGTTTAATAAAATTAAATGGTGTATTGCTAATAGATTATCTATATATGTACATATTGAGGAACACCCTGCCGTAAAGCTAATGGCATGTTATCTGTTGAAAGCTCTTCTTGCTCAATTTAACTGATATGAGCTTTTTGTATTTACTCTCAATTTGTAGATCTGTTGAAAGACTGTTCCTTTGGATGTTTCAACTAATTATAGAAGCTGTCACTACCTTAAACTAAATTGCTTGGTTATGCTATCCGAGATTTTACTAAAAAGCCTGTGCCTTAGGAAAACAAAGGTATATCAGGTGTAAATCCTTATCTTGTTGCATTTTACGCTATTTATGAAGCTGAATTACTATAGAACATTTGTCTTACAAAAGCAAAAGTTTCAGTCATAAATTCCTTATCCTATTGCATTTTATGCTATCTATGAAGGTAATTTGTCTCTTCATTTTCTTTTATTATCATAGTTGTAGAAGTGTTGTTGGTTACTGATTCACCAATTATCTGTGAAAGCCTCTTGTATAGATACTCTGGATATTTGACAAAAAGTTACTTCTTTCATATTCTCGTAGATCTATAATAGGTACAAACACTTCCATGTTCATCCAAGTTCAGCACTTATTTCTAGTTGTTGCAAGCAATTAAATGCTTTTTTTCGTTTAATCTACTATCACAATCTTTTGCCCAACGTAAGTACTTATTATTCTACATATCAGACTACTATCCAGCTCATATTTCACCTAACATATCTATATGGTTCCACAACTTATTTGTGTTTGTTACTTTTTGAACGTAATATAGAATTTTGGGTATGTTGTTGTGTTTGGAATGGCAAAGGCTGACTACTGAGCATTATAGCATGTACTCATATTCACAGAGTAGCTTTTACCTTGGTATCCCTCCTGCTGTTTTCCCTGCATGCTTAATCTTTGGTTGTAATACACTTACCATCCCTTTCCTTTTACAGAAAGGTTTCAACAATAATGCTGATATAAAGGCAGAATGTCCTGGGAGGGACAGCGGTTAATGTAACTAATAGTGTTGATCAAAAGCAGAATAGCCTGGAAGGAGCTGTCATCAATATGACAAATGGTCATTACTAACGTATAAGTGAGTGAGTTAGATATTCAGTTCCTAGATTATCTATATAGAAATCCATTGTTAGAAAACTTCCATATCATGCTTGTATGGAACAAGCTGCCATAGTTATGCCTACTAACTATATACTCAACTGGGTGAGACATCTACATAAGGGCATAACATCATATCTGATTTCTGCAATATTCCTATTTCAAAATTTACATCCTTGCCAAAGATTGTATTGGGAAAATTCAAAATTCCAAGTCATTGGGCCCGTGCTGGCACGGGCTACGACCATCTAGTAGTTACATAAAAGATACTCCACATTGGTATAAGGATATGCTTTTAACTATTCAATATGGTAATTCGATTAGCCACACGCGAGATCAATATGTGTATGCTGCAAGCCCCAACATTACATAATATTTAAATCTTGTTATCAACCCCCCCCCCTCCCCCCCCAAAAAAAAAATATTTATGATATCTAATCTAGTAAGTGAAACATAGAACAAACCTCTCACAGTAAGCAATTGTCTTATTTCCTAGTAGGGGGCGAAAGATTCAATCAACTAAGTATTACCTCTTCTACAAAAGTATTAAACCATACCACCCAAACAACTTAGTTGGCAACTTTTAGTATGTCCATTAAAAAATATTCGTCTATCCAACGATGAAGTAAAAGTCTGTATTACGTTGATAAACACATTTAAACTTTTGGGTAAATTTTATAGCCACAGAAATTGAAAGTCCCACAAAAGCTTTTATTCTTTTAAGTTTTGAAGACCATAATTCTATATCGAATTAAACTAAGTAGCAATAGTACAATGAAAAGAATATTCTTTACAGCTAAAAATTTATGAAAAACTCATAGTAAAAGAAAAAAAAAATTCCTATTTGACTTTCAATAGCAATAGTACTATGTACAACAAAAAGGGAATTAACTTTTTTTTTCGGGCAGGGAGTCAATTAGTAACTTTTAACTTTTTCAAATCTTTTGCATAAACAAATTTATCCGGGATATTTCCCAAAGGAGGTGAACCCCACGCAACTCCATCTCGCGTCAATACAACCTCCTCACCCTCACCCCGAAATGCAAGTACAAAATTTACATTTAAATTGTCGTGCCTCGTTTCGTAAATAATACCAAAAATCAAGGGTAAACTATACTCCTTCTTCTCTTTCCGACCCCTGAACGGCAATCCGACCACTCCACTCTCAATACACCTATATATCTACCAAAAAAAACTCTTTCTGAATATCTCTCTCTCTCAGACACACAGTATACACACACGCACACCACATTCTCTCTGCACTCCGTCGTTCACCAATGCCGCCTTCAACCACCGCCGTCCCCGCCGTAAGTAATGATGTGGACCCTACAGTCTGGAAAGCAATCGCCGGCAACTCTGTCGAAATCCCAACCGTCGGTACCAGGGTTTACTACTTCCCGCAAGGACACGCCGAACACGCCAACTGTGGGTCCCCTATTTTCCTCTCCTCTCTTATCCCTCCGTTTATTCTCTGTCGCGTACTCTCCGTCCGTTTTCTCGCTGATTCCGTTACCGACGAGGCTTATGCTAAAATTTTCCTGCTTCCGATTAACCAGAGCGAGGATAATAACAACGTTGCTGTGAATATGAATGGTGACGTGGAGGATGCAGAAAACGAAGTCGTTTCATTCGTTAAGATTTTAACACCTTCGGATGCGAACAATGGGGGAGGTTTTTCTGTGCCACGGTTCTGCGCTGATTCGATATTCCCTAGGCTCAATTTCGTGGCTGAACCGCCGGTTCAGAATTTGTCTATTCGCGATATTCATGGTTGTGTATGGGAGTTTCGGCACATTTATCGTGGCACGCCTCGCCGGCATTTGCTAACTACCGGCTGGAGCAAGTTCGTCAACAGTAAAAAGCTCGTCGCCGGTGATTCCGCGGTTTTCGCACGGAAAACTAACACCGGAGAACTTTACGTCGGAGTCCGACGAGCCACACGAGGAAACGACATTTGCGAGAGGTGGAATTCTACTGTTTTGAGAAGTACTGAACAAACCAGTAGCGGCGGGGAAGTTCGTTGGAGGACTGGGCAGGGGCGTGTGGCGACGGAGGCGATTGTGGAGGCAGCAGAAATGGCAGCACGGGGAATGGCGTTTGAGGTGTCGTGTTATCCTCGGGCAGGCTGGGCAGATTTTGTGGTGAGGGCAGAAGCGGTAGAGGCGTCGTCAACTGTGTTTTGGACCGTCGGTATGAGGGTTAAGATGGCTGTGGAGACGGAGGATTCATCTAGAACGGCTTGCTTTCAAGGGACTGTTTCATCTGTCAATTTGCCTCAAAGTGGCCCTTGGCGTGGTTCTCCATGGCGAATGCTTCAGGTAAGTTATGATTCTGTTGCTATCTGTTGATTTATTTCTGGTTATATGTCTATAAATTATAGTATGAATTGCGGACTAGTTATAATTATTGTCATTTGAGCATGGAACTGTTTATGGTACTGCATTGGTGTTCTTTTCTGATCAAAGCTGTTGTTATCGTATCTGACGTCAAGGGACGTTGTTATCATTTCACACATAGTTGCTGCTTTCTGGGAATGAACAGTTTATTGTTCAGGTGAGCTTTTAAGTGGGTTATATTAGTTTTGGACGGAAAAGTGCAACGGTGTGGCATACGTGGAGGATTTTTAGTACGTCACATGATAATCAGGTTTTGTTTGAGTAAACCAAACATTTTTTGTGTTTGAAAATGGTAACAGTGTGTTCATCAGCATTACAGTTCAAGTAAACAGAGTCTTGTTCATCTTACAAGAACTACTTTGAGTATACCAAACTTAAGGGCTCGTTTTTAGTGTTTTCTCTATCCATTTGCAACGACTTGATACAAACTTTCTAAAGGAAGAGATTCTAGTCCTTAAGCACTTACACAATTAAATTCTGTTGAGGATGCAGCAATTAATTGCTACGATTGTGTCTGAATAGTCATGTCATTCAATGCAATTGAAAGTTTATGCAGCTAGCATAATGGTGAATCTCAATCGGTTAACAGAGTTAATGGAGTTTTACCCTGCAGAGTCCTTGGGACTTTTAGGTGATCCGTGATAATAAGGCTAACTTTCTTTCAATAATCGTAATCGTCTTTTCAACCTCATTTACAGGAGGAAGTACAAAAAAATTTCCCGGTTACATTAGTTCTGGTTATTCCTACTTATGCACTTACTTCCTCCAATGATTGATTTGAAAATTTCCTGGTTCGGCCTAGTTTCGTTCTTGGGCTTAATGTTGTTCATTAGAATAAATGAGCTTGTTGTATTTACCATCTCTCTTAGTGAGCACTGGAACTCCATTTTCTTTCTGAAGAAGTGTTCTATGCCTAAAACAAATGACATAAGCCAACTGAATATATGTTCATCTTTTTTGAGGAAATGAGTTCATATTCTGCTTGAAATATTTACATTTCGCAAAAAAAAAAA